TACAGAAGAGTTAATTGTGACAACTGGCATGACAGCAGCACACTTAGTTTTTCTTTGATTGATTGCAATCATATACGGTGTGAGGTGAATGGTAATACATTTTATTTTTTTATTAATAAACGAAAAGTTTTAAAGGAAAATTGCTAGAGAGGTAAAAGTTTCTAAAAGAACCAGTTTATCTAATGCGTATTTTTGGATATCGAGTTTTTACGAAATATAAAAGTTATGGCAAAAAATGGCTTGAGGGGTGGTTATTTCAACCCCTTTCGAGGGGTTAAAATTTTCGAAAAATAGTTGAAAACTCGCATCTGTATTAGTAAACAACCTGTAAAAATTTGTTATTTGTACCTCGTTCGGTTTTCAAATTACAGCCAATTTTCATAATTTTTTTGGAAACTTTGATGGCCCATATCTCTTCAGGGGTGAACATTTTACTAAGGCGATTTTTTGCAGATCGTGTTCTTTTGAAATGTAGATTCACTGGTATCATTTATGCTACTCCATTCAAAAACACTCTGTATATATCCCATAGACGTCGCAGTAACGAATGAAAAAGAATATTACTTTGTGAATTATACTTTATTTGAAATTTCAATCGTCAATTTACGCATCAGAATTCTGGGAGATCCATGACCTGAAAGAGCTCACTCTTGCGAAACCACTTGGAAGACCCGACTGACATCCTCTAGCAGAGACGAAGGAAGTGACACCTACTAGAACCCCGCTGACTACCAATGGGCCACCAGAGTCACCTTGGCAAGCTCCAACGGTATCTAAGGGTTAAAAAATATATATACATTCCTTTTACCAAGCTTTTAATAAAATGACTATTTTGTTTTGCTTTATAATTTACAGAAAATTAAATCTGCTGAAAGAATATCTTCTTAAATCCTATTTAAGTAACTTATTTAATATGAAGAATAGCATTTCGGTATACCCCAAGGATCAGATTTGGACCCTCTTCTACTCCCTATACTCATAAATGATGCAACCAATATTATCCACTTGTAAACTCACGACTGCGAAGCCGAAGGTCCGAGGTTCGAATCGCTGGCGGGTCGAATTTTTTCTCTTTTTTTTTTTGGAAAATGTTATATATTATTTACCAACCCACAAAGAACACACCGCGGAGCGATGCTCGAATCGCGCCGAGAGGACCGAAGGCCCGAGAGAAAGGTCAAGTCGGTACAGCGGACTTGCCTACCTTTCCAGTTACTTCTCTAAAGCTCGTTATTGATCAAAATATACTTGGAGGTTTACTAGTATTCTGGCTACAGAATTTCTACATCAAGTAAGATTTTTTCTCTGTACTAAAAGATACTCACTGGCCCCAGACGTGCAAATGGTAGAAGCAACAATAACGTTGGTTCCATAGGTGCTCGCACATACAGCGTTGGTGATGATTTGGGCATTAACTCCTCGAAGCAGGTTCGTGATTCCTGAGGAAGAATCGGAAATCCTTCCCCAGCCGGTCAAACGACCTGTAGATCCTGCGTAGGTTCCCGCCGACGCGGGGGCGAGAGCGATGGTTCGAATGTTGTTGTTGAGGGTGATGGGGCTTGGAATCCTGACCAAAGACACGTCGTTGCGCAGGTTGGAAGCTGTGTATTGAGGGTGGTTGATGATGTTTGTACTCGTGACCCTCACTTGAGTGTTTTCTCTGACTTGGACATTGTGAGCTCCGAAGATCAGTTCCACGAAGGAAGCGCTACGAATCAAAAAAATTGCACGGTAGTTCAAAACGAACAGCAAATATTGTGGAACGCGTAAATCTTTTGTAGTTATTTTGGATTTACCTGATAGTGCAATGAGCGGCAGTAAGGACGAAGTTGCGAGAGATCAAGGAACCACCGCAGAAACTGCGACCGTTGATGAAGATGGCCACTTGGAACGGCACAGAATTGGGGGTGACCACGCTGCCTCCAATAATCCTCCCTCCAATGGGTGCGTCAGTGTAGTTGCTGATGGGTTCGATGTAAACGTTCTCCCCCTTGATGTCCTCCCATTCCAGGGGTTCTTGGTACTAGAAGGATCAAGTTGGCTTACTGACACGATCGTGAACAATGAAAAGTTGGCTTTGCTGTTGAAAGTTATTTAAGCTATGCCTAATTCTGCTGAACTGTATCCAACATTTTGAGATTCTATTTTTGCTATATTTTAAACACTCGAATGGTCACATATTTTGCCACCAGAGAATGAAGTTACGGTTCTAATACAAGTGGTTTTAATTTACTTCATTCAAAATTAAAAAATAAATACAAAAGGAGCAATTCACTCAAGTAATGTCAGGTCTGTAGCCAGCGGCAGTCAGACATAAAAGGCGGTATATTTAAAATTCTAAGTATTTAACAACTGAAAATAACAAACATATCAAGCCATTACTGTGAACGACTTTAATTTCAGTTTTCAATTTTTTGAGATAATAAAGGAATATACTTACCGGCGACGGTAGAGCTAGGGAGCAGCCAAAAATGGCGACCAGGCACAACGTAACTTTCATGGCGTTACTTTGAAAAAAAAATAAGACACATCTGCATCAAGGGTCTTGCCTATATATACGTTTCACTAAATTATTATCACAATGCCGTAGACGTATTGAAGTCATTTTTGAGGGACTTGCAGATTAATTTGTCAAGATTTGACTGATATTAATCTATGATGACGAAGGAGACCTTTCGGTACTTAAAATAATCTTATTGTAGGTATTATTTATTAAACCAACCCATTTCTTTGGACATATCAACATCCTGTCGTACGTATCTCGATGTGTGGTTATCGAAAAGAAGCAAGGCTGTTTTTTTTTACACAAGGTTTATTTATTTTATAAACATATTTCCACAAAACCTCTTGACCTCTTAAACCTACTTTTTGAGGAAGACAAGGGTGTTTCTTTCAAAACGCCAAAATTCTTCTAGAAACATTGTGTGAACCTAGTTCGAATATCCTTAATTCTTTATGTCTGTGACATCTTTAGTGTACTTCAAGGTAATCTAAATTGAGAAGGATGTTTGTTTCAACGAAAAAATCCGCGATTATCGTTGGATTAATATAGATTGAAAAGTAAGACAACGTTTATTATTAACTAATCCAGTGCTTAAGCGATGTGAAGAGCAATGTTACACACGTTTTTATCATTGTTTTGAATTTCTACAGATCACGTATACTTTTCTTACCAGATTGTTTAAATTTATAGATCTGGGCGAAGTACGGAACATTTTCAAAATTGCATAAATTAAAAAAATACCTATTTTAGTATTTTTACTTATATCTTGGAACCTATGCATTTTGGAACAATATTGAAAAGGAAAAAAAGTTTTAGTATTGAATTTTGCACAATACACTGCAAGTTGAAATTGTTTAAATTTGTTACGGATGTTGCAAAATAGCAATAATTGACGAAAAAAGGCAAAATAGTAAAGTTTTTTTGGACAAACAAAAATTATTTAAATAATTGTAATAACAATAAATAAATACATTCATATTCAGAGTGTGGTGTTGAAATATATACGTAAACAAATTTTTTCATTGAAAAAATGCAATAGCGTAGGGTAAAACATACAGCATATTTAATGCATAAATAATAAACTTTGTTTATAACAAAATACGTGCAAATTAGACAGTTGGCATTACGATATTCGAATTCCTTGGCTCGCGAGTTCATCGGATTAAAAAAAAAAGGATTTTTGAGTCACTTTTCGAGCATGCGAGCGACAGCTTTTCCGCTGATTTAACTATGTTGCCGATAACTTATGGATATGAAAATTTTTTCCAGCTTAGAACTCAGAAGAAGCCACTGGATCAAAGATTATTGCTAAATTGTTTATAAATTAACTGTAAATAAACTTTGACCGCTTATATCTCGAGAACCAATAAACGGAATTTAACTTTTTTTTTAAAGAAGCTTCTTTCCGAATACCTACTTTAAAATTATAATTTTTGAAAAAAACTAAATTGTAAATTGATAAATGTAATTTAATTGTTTAAAGATAAAAAAAAAGAGTGTTTACTTTAAAAATTTACTGTGGTCGTCCTAATCAACCGATTTCAATTTTTTAAATACCATTTGAAAGGCTGGGCGGTCTTTTCTATGTGAAAAAATTTTCAAGTATCTAGATACTTTATTTGTTAACGTCTTGAAAATTCGAAAACATTTTTTTAATATTTTTCAAATAAATTTTTTGCGAAAACTATCCCACCGATTTTAATGAAATTGGGTGTGTTGTTTTATTATACTATAAAAATTTTTTTACGAAAATTAGAATGTCTTCCGAGCATTTTTGCCTTCTTTTCATCAATTATTGCTTGAAAAATCAATGGTATGAGAAATTTTAATGAAAGAGTAATTGTAAAGTTTATTTCGTATAAAAGTAAAATTCTAGTGAGAGTGCATTTATTATGCAGGAAAAATACGTAAAAATTTCATAATAAGGAATTCAAAATCATAACCTAAAATATTCTTTGTTTGCAGCATAACAAACGTCAATTTATTAATGTAATAATTTTCCAAAAATTATTGCTGAAACATATAATATATACTTTATTAGATAATAATTTTGTTAAAATTTTTACCTTATATATTTAATAAATAATTAATCAAACCTGGTTATTAGTCCAGTCGGTCGATAGCCGCACGGTTTAAGGCGTCAGTACTTAAATTGATGTGTCGATCTGCCCGGGTTTCGAATCCCGCGGCCGGTAGACCGTAGATTAGCTATGCTTGTACGGAGGATTGGCACCCTCTGTGCAGGTATGGTAGGGTGGAAGAATGTTGGCTTGGGTCAATGTGAGAGATTGACACCGGTTGGCATTTGACCGCCCCCCTAATTAATGAGGTTTTCCAGGTTTCCCTCATTCCTGCACTGAATGGTGGCTAGGGCCTACCAACATAAGCCGTTCCTGGGCGCAAATGCGGCCTGCTTAATAATAATATGCCGCCTCCTCTCCCGCACAAGTCTCCGACTTCTGGGCTAATTCTCGTAGTTAGAATGAGGAGTAGAGATATTATTATTATTATTATTATTATTATTATTATTATTATTATTATTATTATTATTATTAATTAAATGAGCCTTTAAATCGCAATTTTGGTCAACTTACCTGAATTTTTCATATAAGTTAGTTAGAGGTATATAATGACAATAAGTGACAGTATTTTTATTTCAACCAGGCAGGCAGGCAGGGGCCTGGGGTGAAAAAGGTAAAATAAAGGGGCTTTTCAAGATAACTCAAAAGGGGTAAGAGCTAGAAGAAAAAGTTTCTAATAAAAGTTGTAGAGCATAAAATTCTAAATAACAATGGTCTATTGGCTTTTTCTTGTACTATTAAAATTAACAGAGTTAGGGAGACTAGAAATTAAGGGATGATGTCAGAAATTTAAGAAATCTCATCAAAGAAAAATGAATCAATTTTATATATTTTTTTTCAATCTGCTCTAAAAAGTTTAAATTTTATTTTCAGAGAAATACATATTTTTTAATTTTTAATAATAGGTTATAACAATTTCAGTTTTTTAATCGTTAATTTTTATGATTTAACACTAAAACAATTTTTTCTGTGCCATTCGATGGATTATTTAAAATAATGAAAAGTTGCTTTTGAAATTTTGTTTTACAACAAATATAAAAATTCACGTTCGCTTTCTGAAATTGTTAAAACTTTTTTGTTAATTAAAAAAATATATGTATATATTTCCCTGAAAAGATGGTTTACATTTTTCTAGAGTAGATTATAATACATCTGTTACATATGAAGATATTGGAAGATGGACCATTGAATTCGATAGTTCATAAGAAAAAATATAATTTCTTAGTATTTCATTACCACCAAATTGTATAAATTCCCCGTCTCCTTTGATTTGATACAAATTTTAAATAAAGAAAAATTGTGGTAAAGTGAATCGTCATTAATAATAATATATTTTAACAAGACAACAAAAAGTTGAAGTGAATGATATTCTGTTTCATTTTTTAAGAATTGTCATTTAAAATAAATGAAAACTATTTCAATACCATTATTATTTTTCCCCATATCCAACAGGAGCTTGATCATTTGCTAATTATTTGTTTCCAGTAATATTCTAAGACCAGATTCTTTACAAAGTTCTTCATTTATGTATTTTATACATTCTATGAGCAAGATTGAAAGAAACATTAATGTATGCTTGTACATTTTATTATTTATTTACATTTGTTAGACTGACACATCAGAATTTTGGGCAATCCAAGTCCTGAAGGCACTAACTCTAGCATAACCAGTTGGGAGACCAGACTGGCATCCTCTAGCGGAAACGAAAGAAGCCACGCCGACTTGGACATTACCAACTGTCAATGGACCACCCGAATCGCCATTGCATCCTCCCACAACACCTGTAAATTTCAGTTTTTATTTGTGTTTAATCTTTCCCAGAAATAACAAACTTACCGGCTCCCGAGGTGCATATATTCGTTGCTTGAATAGTACTGCCGTAAGTGTTAGCGCATACGGCATTGGTGATTACGGTGACGCTGACTCCTCGAAGCAGGTTCGTGATTCCTGCGGCAGAATCGGAAATCCTTCCCCAGCCGGTCAAGAGAGCGGTAGATCCCGCGTAGGTTCCTGCCGAGGCAGAAGCGAGGGTAACAATCCGGATATTGTTGTTGAGACTGATGGCATTTGGAATCCTGACCAAAGCCACGTCGTTGCGAAGACCGGATGGATTGTATTGACCGTGGTTGGTGATGTACGTGCTTGTAACTCTCACCTGAGTGGTCTCTGTGGTCTGGATGTTGTGCGCGCCAAAGACGAGATCAACGAAGGAAGCGCTGGAATATTCGAATGCATGAATAAAGGATTTGTGTACGTTTTGGAAATGGTTATGGTTTACCTGATGGTACAGTGGGCAGCGGTGAGGACGAAGTTGCGGGAGATCAAGGAACCACCACAGAAACTGCGGCCGTTGATGAAGAGGGCCACTTGGTACGGTACAGAGTTGGGGCTAACAACGGCGCCTCCAATAACCCTTCCTCCAACGGGTGCATCGACAGTGTAGTTGCTGATGGGTTCGATGTAAACGTTCTCCCCCTTGATTTCCTCCCAGGCCAGAGATTCTTGCAGCTGCAACAATTATTTTTGCGTTAGAGTACCTCAAGAGTAAATTCTTATGTTGTTTCGAGGAACATATTAAAGAAATCTACTTACAGGCGAAGGTAGAGCCAGGGAATACCCCAAGACAGCTAGAATGCAGATGCAGAGCTTCATGGTTTTGCCTTGAAACAACTACTCGTTCGTGGTAAAAGTTCTAGCCATATATATATAGCTACTGGAACAAATTCTTATCGTTGTATCTAAGATATATAATATACACTTTGACTGGAAGATTAATTCGTCAAGATTCGATTGATAGGACCAAGTCATATCTTGATCCATTATCGACAAAGTTTATAATACTTTTTTGACCATACTTATGAAGCTTCTCAAGTATTGATTTATTATGTGCCAACAGTATTTAATATATTCCTACATACTAGTAGTGATTATCTGTTGAGATAATAAGACATTTTACTATTCTTTTATTTCCTTTAAAGTTTTTACAAAGATACATCAGAGTTTGCAGCAATCCAGCTCCTGAATGCGCTGACCCTTGCAAAACCACTTGGAAGACCTAACTCACATCCTCTGTAGGCGACGAAGGAAGTTACACCAACTTGGATGCCGTTGACTGTCAAAGGACCACCTGAATCGCCGTTACATGCGCCAACGATACCTGCAAAGAAATAAATTTTTTTCTACGCTGCATAAGTTCCGATTTTCAAATTATTTTGTAATTAGCAATATGACATGCAACATAGCTGAAGTACTGATATTAAAGTCACGATGTGAATTTGGATTAAGTCAAATGGTGTCCTCATCTTCGTGATGAGACGAGTTAATCTTACCAGGATTCATATGGCTAATACAAAACACGGGAAAATTTCAATCGAGATGAGAAACCGTCTAGAATTTTGGCATAAGGAGTTTCCCATAGAGCTGTGCCCCGTTGATAATAAGGCATCCTGTATCTAATACCACTTACCGGCTCCAGAGGTGCAGATAGTCGATGATTGAATAATATTCCCGAAACTACTGGCGCATACAGAATTGGTGATGATGTTAAGGTTGACTCCTCCAAGGGTGGGTGAAATTACGTCGATGGCGTCGGAAATCCTTCCCCAGCCAGTCAAGCGAGCGACAGATCCCGCGTAAGTTCCTGCTGTTGCAGGAGCGAGGGCGACAATCTGAATATTGGCGTTGAGGGAGATGGCGCTTGGAATCCTGACCAACGCTACGTCGTTGAGCAGAGTAGATGGATTATATTGGCCATGGTTGATGATGTTCATGCTTGTTACCCTCACCTGAGTGGATTCTGCCGCTTGGACGTTGTGAGCGCCGAAGATGAGCTCGACGAAGGAAGCGCTGGAATATTCACGTGCATGAATAAAGGATTCTGGAAATTTGGAAATGTTTATGGTTTACCTGACGGTACAGTGAGCAGCGGTGAGGACGAAGTTGCGGGAGATCAAGGAACCACCACAGAAACTGCGACCGTTGATGTAAATGGCTACTTGGTACGGTACAGAGTTGGGGGTGACAGTCATCCCTCCAATAACTCTCCCTCCGACAGATGCATCTACTGTGTAGTTGCTGATGGGTTCGATGTAAACGTTCTCCCCCTTGATGTCCTCCCAGGCCAACTCTTGCACCTGCAACAATCAAGTCTTTTGATTATTACTTTATACTCCTTGTTTTATTTACTTTCAAAGCGCGAAATACTTGAAAAAGAGAACTATGTCATTAAACTTAAAAGGAGATTGTAGTGCCTATTCGAGAAATACAATTTTTTTTCAGTTTTGATGTAAAGGTAATAAAGAAATCTACTTACTGGCGAAGGCAGAGCGAGGGAGGAGCTCAAGATGGCTAGAAAATAGACGCAGAGCTTCATAGTTTTGCCTTGAACTAATGACTTATTTGTGCCAAAAATTCTTTTTATATGCCTATAGAAACATTCCAATGACATTTTTTTATTGCAGTATCTTGGACATAACAATAACTATTATAGTGTAGGATTAATTTGTCAAGATTCAGTTGATAAAATTGTTATCAAAGAAGTTCATAATTCAATTCATTGACAAAGCAAATTTATCAAATTTTTAATGCAATTTTAATCTTATGAGTTATAATGAAATTCGGAAATATTCTGGCTGCAAAATTAATTTGTGTCTATCAAAAATACTTTCGTATAAACTATCACACTGCCTACTTATTAAATTTCAAATTCGTCCCTTTCATGTCGTCAGATTTTCCTATGTTCCACAGTCACCTTTGGGATTTCGTGAAAATCGATACTCCACTAACGCAAGCGTGAATCGAGCGGATTACAATTCGCGTTGATCCATCTGCTCGTGTAATATTTTTAGTTTGGCCTACTAAATGTGATTCTTTTAGTTTGTGTGTATGTGTTTGTTTTGTATGAGTTGAATCCATTGCCCTAAGTAGGTTTAAAAAATAAACAGTGCTTACCAAGGGCGAATGTCTAAAAAAATGTGACGTTATTTTGTATAAAAAAATGTAAACAAAGGATATATTTGATACCAATTTAAGATTAAACTGAACCAATGATTCAGGTGAGATCTATATCGTTTATGGTTAATATAAAATAGCACACACTTGCTTCTATTTAGAAATATGAACACATTCTTTTGTAAAGGGTAGTTTACTTTACCAGTGATGTCTATTTAGTAATTTACAATACTTGTTTTAAGCATTTTGTAACGTTAAATGTAAGTTTTGGAAAGAGTACATTTTAATAATAACTAATGTGAACTATATCTATAGTAAATTATAAAAATAACAACATAAAATACTTGTTTTATGTGTTATTTTTCCTAGTTAAAATTCTTGTGCCCTGTATATATGGGAATGGGATCTTCCAATATTTTGCTGTAAAATAAAACACAAATATTCCTTGTGATAACCTCATGATTTATCATTTTATATTGACCTCGTATTGCTTTATTATACATATTTGTTCTAATTATTTTATGATAACCACAATAAAATACGTATGAACACTGCAGATCCTAGGTAGGAAATATGTTATCATATCATATTAGTCATTTAATCTGGTTGTATTATCAGCGCTAAAAAAATCGGCGGAATTTTTATTATGTATCATATTATGAAATCCATATTGTCGCATATAGTGGATTTTAGTTATTGGTGAAATACGATAGATAATAAGTGATATTTTGTTATTTTCTATGTAAAAAATTTAGTGGTACCTATTATCTCAGGATCCAGACAAATACAAAGAAAATTACCATAAAACTAAAATGTTCAATGTAAGTTTATAATTTATTATTATGACTTGATTAGAATTGACATAATAAAATGTAAGTTGTATCGTGCACCAGATGTACATACGTGAAATGTGAACATTTGACAAATTTCTTCTCAAATATTCGGTGAATATTTGTTACGGGAGAATATTCTTTCGATTGTATCGATATGCAGCATCCACACGATGCGGCATTTGTCGACAAATATTTGGCAAGTGACTGCATCATCTGAAGCCGACTTGTCGTAGAGTTAGATGTAGGAAAGTGGTCAATAACTTAAAATTTATTATAGGAAGAGTCAGGATATACAGGATCTTGAATAAAAATGATGCAAAGGCATTAGAGAATAGGATAATAAGCAGATAACGGTAACTATTATCGTTTTTGAATTGAAAGGTATCTTAATTTGCCTTTACCTGTAGAGTTTTTGATACTAATATTAATATATACGATAAGCTGTTTATCAATTATTATCAGTTGTTTTTGTTGTCATATTTGAGGTGATAAGACAGGAGTATCTACCATATTGTACTCTCATCGCAATATTTATTGATTATGGGTGAAATATGAACAATAGAATTACATTTACATAGTTATAAATAATAAACAAAACAATTACATTACAAAAAATGCAGCGAAGCACTAAAATTTACAGTTTTTACAAACTTGTTTTGCATTAGGGACTTATAGACAGAGTATGTTAAATTGATTCATCATTCAATTAATTTTTTCAAGGTGTTGAGAAATAAAACAATGCATTATTTATAATACATGGTGGATGCCTTCTCGGGAGTGAAAAATGTTTCATTGAAAATAACACCGGGAATGGATATAATGACTAATTCTAAGCAACTTTTGGTCTATAAAGTTTTTTCTGAAAGTCAATACTTTTCGACTTATTCGCGAGTGAAAGGGTAAATTTTTTAACCAAAAAAAAAAACACTTTCAGACGGTTTTTCGCGAATAACTCAAAAAGTAAGTATTTTATCAAAAAAATCATTCTTATAAAAAATGTAGCTTATAAAAAAAAACAAAAATAATGGTGTGTTTATGGTGTCTGTAGACCCAATACAAGCGGAGTAATAGCTTGTTGAATGTTGGTTCTTATTCGTCAAACGCCAAAATTGAATGTTTGAACGTGAAATAAGCAAAAACCAATACATTTTTCTGGGAATACTCTAGAACATACGGAAGTAGAAAACATTTATAGAAATTCAATGTTTTAGTTATTTACTAATCAACTTTAACAATACATTTGAAGGAAAAACAATGTAACAAGCTGAAAAACAATAACTCACTAAATAATGTTTTTTTTAAATAATTAATTTTAACAGAGACATAAGAAAAAATATTTAACAAACAACAATGATATAAAAATACGTTACATACACAGGCGTTACAACAGTTGTTGAAAATGTGCACCTTCAACTCTAATACAGGCATCTATCCTACGATACATTGATTGCAGAACCCGTTCAAATATTCCGGCTGTGTGTCTACTTGTTTGACAGGATGCGACAAAGCGGTTTCTTAATTCTTTTATGGTTTGCACCTTAACCCCCTGGACTATTTTTTGTGGAGGAACTTAAGGCAAAGGTTTATAAAATTCTAATTGAGACCATTCAGCAACTACGGGAGGAAATTGAAACCACGTGCATGGAAATAAGGCAAACACCTAGAATTTTCCAAAGAGTTCGCAAATAATTGAAGCGTCGAGCTAGATTATGTATCGAAATGCAAGGTGGTCACTTCGAGCAGTTCTTGTAATTTAACTTATTATTACTAATTTTAATCCCATTATTTTCTACTTCACATTTAGCTATTGTCTGCAGTAGTAATTAGTTCTTTAATTAGTAAGTGTAATGACCCATTTACACAAGGCCAGTTGTGAAGACATTCCACTAAGCCAATCCAACATTGGCATTGTGTAAATGAGACAGTCCTGTAAATGGAATGTCTCCAGTCATTGTCCCAAGCCACTCCACTAATTAGAACGGTTTCTAATTTTAGGAGCCAATAGCTTCCCCCACCATTAAGAAGTGGATTGGCTTGTGTAATGGCATTTGTGAGAACTTACGTTCCTAGCGAAGCCTAGCCTAGCCCTAGCCTATCCATTCTACACAACCGTATATACTAGACCACATAGATTATACAAAGATACTAGCCTGGCGGATGACGGACTGGCCTACGTGTAAACTTCAATTGAATTTTTATTGGATTGTCCTCAACTTTGTCATTGGATTGGCTTAATGGAATGCCTTCACAACTGACCTCGTGTAAATGGGCCATAACTCTAAATTTAAATAGTTATAGTTTATGTCCTAAATTATTTATTAAATGATCCGATCCTTCATAACTGCAATTTATTTAAATAATGTTGCTGAATTTTCAAACTCAATTTACTCGAAAACCATTGGAAATATCGATTTGGGCAAAGATAATATTTTTTACGTAAAATTGTTAAGATTTTATAAATCTGTAGAGAAAATTGTAAAAGAATTTAAATAAAAAAAATTACGGGCCGAAAACCCCCTTCACCAACCTAAATGGGACGCATATGATTTGCATGTCGAAAAACGGAGTAGCCCATGTTATTTAACGTAAAAAGTTATGTAAGATCCATAAATTTTTTTCTATTTATTTTCGACCGTTTTGTCAATAACAGAAAAAAAACAGTTAGTTTGAGCCCTTTAAGGGCATATAACTTCCTAAGGGTGCGTTTTAGGGCACATGTTAATAGGAACTTTTTGACTTAATTTAATGAGTTATAAACGCAGCAGAAGTTTGGAACCCTATTTTAGAAACACCCAGTATAGCGTGCACAAAAAAAATCCATATCCTTCAAAAAATTATTTTTTTTTCTGTATTATTGTCTTCGTTTATGGAATTCCCCCTATCCACTTGTAGATCTGTTGTAGAATTACTTTTTTTTCCAGGGAACATGTCGTTTATGGAATATAAGCATATCCGCTCTAGTCTTCCTCACGGTGTACAACATAATGCTGACTGTGAAGCTAATGTACGCTCCCAGTTGCACCAAACAGTACGCCCCCGTACAGAAACCAAGAATAATCTACCAAAAATGTGATATCGACAAAGAGAAATCCGGTAAATATTTTTTAAACTTAGATCTAAGCCTCGGCAGGTGGGACGAAAAGCACAAGTACAAGCTCTTCGACAACATCATCGTGGGGGAGAAGTACGTGCTCCTGAACGATCTCTACAAGACTTGTTTGGCCACGCAGAGCTCGCTGGAGAAGATCTCTTCACTGATAGAGGTGTCCAGTCATTGGAATGGTCCCATCTCCCTAGCGACGTTCGCCGCCAGCGAAGAGGAATTGAACACTGTCCTGCTGTACATACTGTATTTAAGAAAATGTGATACGAGGATAAAAGACAAGGTAGCCTTTCACCTGGTTGTGGCCAAGGAAAGAGCGCCGAGAAGCTACGAGATAGACACCGAGAAGTTGAACGAGTTGAATTGCGACAACCCCATGGGAGTCATCCAGTACCTCCTCAAAGACCTAAACAAGGGCCCTAACAAGTGGAGGGCGAAGCTGCCCTATCCCCAGAACCACCTGAGGAACTTGGCCAGGAAGAACTGCCAGACCAAGTACGTTTTCCTAACAGACGTCGATATCATTCCCAGCAGGGGCATGGCGGAGAGCCTGGACGTGTTCTTGGGAAATCCCGAGTGCAAGGGGCAGTGTGCCTACGTAGTTCCCACGTACGAACTAGACGAAAGGGTACTGTTCCCTCCAAATAAGACTGAACTCATTCGATTAGCAAATAAGGGCCTAGCCAGACCGTTTCATCACAAGGTTTTCATTTACAACCAGTATGCTACAAACTTCACCAGGTAAGACTTTTTGTTACACACATTCTCAGCTACACACTCTCCGTACTTGTAATGAATTTGTTCCGCAAACTTATACAAAAAAACCGTCAAGAGATTATTTTTTAGATGGCAGAACACCGTTGACGATGGGACGGATATCCACATCAGTCATCCAGTGACAAATTTTGAATTTCTTTACGAGCCCTTCTATATAACTCCGGACACGGTGCCGCCACATGACGAGAGGTTCATCGGATATGGATATACGAGGAATAGTCAGGTAACATCAACAGTTTTCACGTCGTAACCGAAAGGCTTTATTTTCTGCTCTCTTCCGCAGGTGTACGAGATGTTCGTAGCGGGCTACGAGTTCCTGGTGCTGTCCCCGATCTTCACCTGTCACTGGGGCCTGCAGATAAAGCGGACTCGACCGCCATGGAGGGAACACCAGAACAACCTGAACCGCAAACAGTTCGATGGATTCAAGAAGGAAATCTTCGCCAGATACAACAAGGACCCCCTCAACATGATGGCGTCACGGAAAACCTGACACAAGTTTCAGAACATTGGCAACATCCTTATTTTGTAATAATGTGTGATTGTTATTTTGTGATCCGCGCTTAAGTTCTTACTGAGGAGGATGAAATTAGTTTTCAACTGTTTAATATTAAGTAATTTATCTAATTATATCCTTTTGAGTTATTGCTTTCTTGAAAATCTTCCTCGTTTGAGTCTCCCAACTTCGTCACCATGTGCTCCGAGATATTTGGGAACGTCTTCTTGGATGTAAGAGGGGGGCAAGCTAATTTTTGCTGGATTACGTTCAGTAGAACTCACATAATAAAAGTGTAGATCCCTAGATGTGGGCGAGATCCGGAACATTTTCAAAATTATTTTTACTAAAATTAGAATGCCCTCGGAGCAATTAAAATATTTTAAAAAAATTATCCAAAAAACTTGATTATTTTGCCTTTTTTTCATCAATTATTGCTATTTTGCAACATCGGTAATAAATCTAAACATTTTTAACTTACAGTATATTGTGTAAAATTCAATTCTACAATTTCTTTCCTCTTCAATATTCTTCGAAAATGCATAGGTTCCAAGATATAAGTAAAAAACTCAGATAAAATAGAAATAACTCCTATTTTCATTAAAAATTCATTAAACTTTCCAATTTTTTTTTGAGCAAAATAATTTGTAACACAAAGAGACTAAATAATACTTTTACAGTGGTTTGAATTTTAGATTTACGAACACCTAGAAATATTTAAAGACCTTGCATCACTTCTAGTGCGTAATATAATTTCATTTTGATATCTTTTCACTCGTGTAAGTGATAACTGACTATAAATATAGGCTTTAATCAGTGAAAATGTCATCTTTATAATAATCTACATCAGCTATCAGCATCTGCAAGCGTCTTAAATTGGAGTGTCAACGGTCTTTAACAATATGAACTGATACCATTAGTAATGCACTTGGGTCAAGTGTGGGTACTTAAGTGCAATTCTTTAGGAGCTTGCAACTGGTATTGAACCGGTACGAACAAATATGGAAAAATACAGTCACATGATCGAATATTGATTTTAAAACTTAAATTGTGACACCGAAAATATCAAAAGTATATTAGTTATTTGCAACTTTCGTTTAGACGCAGTAGAAAATAAAAATTACAAATTCAAGGTCACCTTGGCATATGTGACCAATCAATCAATCTCAGTAACGAACAGAATCTTAGCTTGGTATTAAGGATTAACTTGTTAAGATCGAGATTAAATTTATATTCAAAGTTAACTTTTCACAGACGTATAAAGATTGTGATATCACATAAAAGTGGTCTGATCATATCACCCTATATATTTGAACATCATAAATAGAAACCGCCATAACAAATGCTCCGTCATCTCTTAATTTTTTTTTAGTTGCCAATAAGCAACTCTAAAATCTAACAAACTGACGAAATTGTGCTTTTAGAAGGTTCTCCTTGAACATCCTTCACAGAAAAAGATGCAAAGTCTGATACAACTTTACATTTAGTGAATTTCTGTTTGAATAAAGACGGTATATAAACTGGGAAAATTGGCTCACTATAACTACGCTTAAAGCTTTCAGTAATTGCAGTTACTGATGAATTCCTTCTTGAATCGTTCTTCTTGGCTTTCATTTAATTCTTATCAGATTTTTCTTTTTTCTATCATTGTGCCCTGTATTTGGTCTATTATTTTACCTGTGTGGACGTCACCTGTTAAATATTAGGATTGTAAGGTAAATCTATGACAAAGATATTCCATATTCATCGATTTCAAGGTCATGACGTCTTCTGAAGGCGACAGCGGTACGTCCCTGAAAATATTACAGCAACTAAGGCAAACAAAGAAACTAACGAATTGGGATACTGAAATAAATGGAAGTAGAGACAGAAAAAAGTGATATATTCCAAGGATGAGACCAAGGCCCATGTATTTGAACCTCCAGAAGCCGACTCTGCCAAGGAAATTGGTGCGTAGCCACCAAAAAACCGCCCCTGAGATCTAAAACATCGCCAAAACTACGCATTATCAGCAACTTTCCCCTTCTTTCACCGTATATGTAGGAATACGACTTTTTACATGAAAGAAAACACAAATTCGCATAAATTTGTCTATTTAAATAATCCGCAAGTCATTATTGTAAGGCTGCTCGTCATTTGGAATGCGAAGATAAAAAATAAAGTGCTCCAACTAGTATTAATATTATTGTTTTTGGCTTAAAGGGGGCTTAAGATGAGATTAATTTAGATTAAATGTATCTTTAGGTGCGTCAAAATTTCTCGTACGTCAATATGTTCCTCTTAAAATGGCAATTAAGAAAGGTACATCTGAAGACATTAGACATATTTCAAAGACTACTTTTAATTTAATTTTGAAAAATTGGGTGTTCTCTGGCATGCCCTTGACGTCATCTTCGTTATTTTAAATAGAACACCCTGTATATTGTTGCAGTTTTGGATTATACGTCAATTTTTATATGAACTTTCATAAAGGTTTCCTATTCTTAAAGTTAACTGTTTTTTGATATATTTAATTTTTTTCAAGAAAAGCACTGCCTAATTTAAAAAGATGTATATTTTACAATAATAAAGTTAGAGCGATAAAATTTATAGGGGACATAACTAAAACTCTAAGCTTCCCTGCCGCAATTTCAAAATAACTTAATTTCGTACAGGGTGGTAGAAATTTAATGCCGAATTTAGTCAACTTTAAACCATCTTAACTTATTTTTTTTAAATGGATATTTTTGCGCAACCTGATGAACAATTTTGTTCTCTTTCGAATGGTATAACGGTTCCCTATACCTATCTCTTCATGTCGGTTGGTTTCAGCGATTTCATCACACCACGACGACAATACCCGTTATCTAGTTGTTTCTGTAATAACAAACTGATTTTTAAAATAAAAACATTGCTATTCTAACCATAAAGTCTGACATAATTTTTTGTTGACACTGACACACTTCCTGGTACATGAATTTCCAAATGCCTCGACAAGCGAGACAAATGAAATGCATTAGCCGGTATTACATTTTTAATTTCAAAGGTTTCGCAACGAAGATATAGGTAAAGAGTACGTTTTCTTCTGAAGTGGCTATCCTAGATAGACAAAGTCAATAATTAAAATGTAATAGTTGCAACAATTGGAAACAAAGAATATTTACATAAGATACCACAGTTTCATCAATATAAAAACATGCGGACCAATCTGTTTTCAAATGATAAAATGTTCAATAGTGGTGTGGTAATTTTAGCAGCCGTTGCACTTGCGTTGTGTAAGGGTATTTTCACTCAGATCTTATTGTTTTTGCACAAATGTTTAATTAAAGGTGACAAATCAATTTGCTAACACCTGGTAATTTAGTTAACGGTTCTAATCTTGCCTGTCCTGTCATAGCGAATTACACGCGACTAGTTACAAGTATGTCAAATTTACGTTTGCTTGGTGTAGGCTCGTACTATTTTTGATAAACTTACCGTAAGACAGTCCCTAAACATCTGAAGGTAAATTAAGTATTAACAAATATATACGATCTTGTGTCGGTTTACTTTTTCTTTCTCATTTTGTGTAATATGGCAAGACAGGTAAGTCATTTAAAGTCATTTTATCAAATTATTTTACTTCTAAAGCTTCATGTCAAATATTAATTAGGTACATAAGTCCCAGAGAACAAAATAAAATAATAAGATGAACCTAATTTATAATCTATTCGTTAAGATTTTATTCTCGTAGTATACAGAGTGATCTATTAACGCGTAGCGGCTGTTTATAGGAAACTAGGCGTGCTACGATTATGGGGTAAAAAAATCTATTAACAAATACGGCGAAATTTGTAACTTCACCACTAGGGGGCGTTTTTAAGAAATTTCGCTTATATGACCTAAGTTGAAAATATAATTTTTAGATAGTGTTAAACCCTTCGCAAGTTTTGTTTGATTTTTTTTGTTATTGCCATAGCAACGCCAGTCTGAAAGACGCCATCTTGAAATTTTTAAATTGTCATAACTTCTGAATGCCTTAATCGATTTCAATAAATGAGGACTCATTTTAAAGAACTATTCATAAAATTTATATTTATGATGTGGAAATAAAAATATTATTTTTCTGCGCAACGGTAGATGACGGATCGTCCGGACTAATAATTAGTTAATTTGTTTATAAGGCCATAACTTGTAAATTATTCAACTTACCGATTCCAGATTTCGTGTGAGTTATTAGACAGTGATAAGGAATGAGAGGATGCGATGCCAAAACGTTCTGATAATAATAACGCAGTTTATAAATGTTTAATTAAAAAGTCATAAATAAACTTCTTCTGTTTATAACTTTTGATCTAATCAATATTTTTTAACGCTCGAGGGCTAGTTTTGTAGGTCTTTTGAAGACGAAAAAAAAGTAGTTCACTGTTTTCTCGTGGAAATGAACGGAAAAAAGTTATAAGCGAAAAACGTGAATTTACGTAAAAATTATACAATTAACCACCCTGTAAACAATCTTCCCCCCCCCCATTTTTATGACTGTGGAAACTACTATGTTATTGTACATAATATTTAGCATCTATAGTGATAAATTCAGCTTGCCGAAACAAAAAGTCGCGAAATTATCATTTCCCAGCTCTTTTTCCTGGCCTATTGAACAACCAGAAAAGTCCACAGCTTGATATTGCTTTTAATCTTAATCTAGTGCTAACAACTTCATCAAGATCGAAGTTGATGGAATTCCTATGCGCCTAAATATACAGGGTGAATCTTAAAAGTGTATAATTTGCGATTTTTTTTTAAATTAAGGATATTTATGAAGATATTAATTTTTTTCACATCTACGTTTTCAGAACTCCATTTCTTGCGAGTAATAAATTTCCTGTCCAACACCTTGAAACTTATTTCGACATAGAATTATCATTTTTCAAGTTCAGCATTTAAATGGGATATCGGATATTTTTTTGGTAAACTTTGTTTTGTGTCAGGTGCTTCCCCTACTAAAAAACCACGCCCCCGCCCAGACGGAAGAATTGTTGAAGGTGATGTCGCCAACATAGAGAACTACCCCTACCAACTTTCACTTCTTTACGAGGGAGATCACACTTGTGGTGCTTCCATAATTGACAGAAGATGGGCCCTAACAGCCGCACATTGCACAGATGGGTCAGTATTCATTTCTTTAGAAACAAACTCGAGTTCGTCTCGCAGACTTGGCTCAAAATTTGAGCCTTGTGGAACACCAGAAGAATTTATGTCAAAAGCAAATTGAAATAACCAATCATATTTTTATATTTTTTGCAGAATCCCAGCCACTCGCTTCACCGTTAGGGCCGGATCGTCTCTGCTAGGAACAGGCGGCCAACTGATTAAAGTCAAACACGTTCATCAGCACCCTGGCTTCGACTTTTCCGACATGGACTTCGACATAGCGGTTTTGGAGCTGGAAGAAGACATCCAATTCACCAAAACGGCGTCGCCAATACAACTAGTGGACGCCAACGTCAAATACCCCGCTGGTTCTGAAGCAATAGTGACCGGTTGGGGACTGCTAGACCAAGACTTCCACCTCCTCCCTACTTACCTTCAAGTGGTGAAGGTCCCCATCGTCAGCAACGAAGAATGCGCCAAAGCTTACGGAGATTTGTTAACAGACCGGATGATCTGCGCTGGGTATAAGGAAGGAGGGAAGGATTCCTGTCAAGGGGACTCGGGTGGTCCTTTCGTGGTGGCTGGGAAACTTGTGGGTATTGTTTCCTGGGGATACGGATGCGCAGTACCCAAGATTCCTGGAGTGTACACTGATGTGGCTGCTTTGAGAGATTTTGTGACTGATGTGACTAAAATATAATGAATATTATGACATACTATGTTTGACCTACCTATCCCACTAAATCAAGAATTAAACTTTTCTAACCAGTAAAGAAATATCACTACAGTATTATCTTTGTAACAATGTATACGAGAATTGATTATATACAGTTTTTGGGGTTTTCCACGAATCTGACTCTTTGGTATCTTGGATTGCGAGACAGATGCTAATTGCAATATTGAGTTTTGAAAACGTAGAGATAAAAAAATTAACGTTCCACTTGATATTTATGAAATATCATCAGCAGATAAATTTCAATTAAAAACAAACAATAGATAGTCTCTAGATAATAAAACATAAACGTAAATGTGATATTATCTCCATAAAGCATCAATCATTGCTAATGTCGCAGACATACACAAAATGTTGGATATACTAGGTCCCTCTACGCATATATTCCAAGCCACTGAATACGAATTTTAGATCAGAATAGCACCGTCATGTTAGAATTACTTTCTAACCTCAAAAAAAAAAATAGGTGGAAACAGCAAAAAATTATGCTTATTTCTAACTGATGTATATATTCATTTCAATAGTACAAAGTCTAAGGCAGACCCACGCAAAAGATAGAAGTGGATAGATTAGATAGAAGTATTTATGAGTGCTTTTGAAATAAATATTGTTTCATCTCAAACATTCCAATATTTATTTGGGTTCATATTCCTATTCATATCTATATACAACTTAAAAATTTACCCCAAACTGAAATCGTCAGAAAAACATCGATTAATGATTAATTTTATCAGGGTATTTTTGGCACGATCATAAGTTATCACACTGTCTCATCTAGTACTTATACTAGTAAGTATAAGTATTCATTAAGAATCGTATATTTTTAGACATATAATTTTCTAATTTATCAAAACAGTTCTTGAAAATCATATTCATTTATTTTCATGTAAAATTAAATATTAATCTCTCTCACGTTTACAAAAATTAAAAACATGTTTCGGAAATGAAATAATATTAATATTCCACAAAAGCTGTAGACCCAGGAATAAGGTATATGGGTGTAGAATTACTGAAAGAAGTGTTTAAGGTTACACAAAAAAAAATATGTGTAGAATTGCACTTATCGATAAACCACAAACTTATTGATTGTTGCTTTTATGAATACAGAAAATTTAAGCATAGAAATTAACATAGTCATATTTTTATATAAACTGATATTATGTTTATATATATATTACACAAAATCTACTTTGCTTTAAAAGTTGTATAGTCCAGGAAAGTTAGACATAAAAGGACGGAATAAGCGAACTTTTTTACTGTGAGTTTTTTTATAGAAAAGCACAGGTTTTGAGGTCGGAAAACTCGCAACCACCATAGATTTTCCAAGAATTTTCCGCAATTTTCTTTCCTCTAATTCACATTTGTTATTTAAAAATGATTTGGTCATTATTTGGCTTCAAAACATAAATTTTCACATAATCGTTCGTTTAACAAAACAATCGAAATTTTTCATAGGAGCAATTTTGTAGAAAATTTAATTTTGAACAAGTTTTATTTGAAACTTTTTTTCGAAATATGCATCTGCATCATTTAGATAATAGCAGTTTTTGGTCAAAAAACGTGAAAAATCATATACAGGGTGATTTCACTTTACATACAGAAACTGCAGTACTCTAGATTCATTATTAAAAAATAAGTTTGCTCTATAAACTTCTTTCCTGTTGTTCTCGGTATTCGAGATACAGGGTGTTAAAGTTTAAAAAAATATATATTTTTTCTGCTATATTTTCATAACGCGCTGACGGAATTGAATTAAATTTACTGTAGCGTATTCACCTAATTAGACCTTTTATTGAATGTAATATTAACCTCCTGGCTTTAACCAGTAGCGTGCTACTGGAGGTACCGCCCAATTTTCCTAAGAAAAAAATACGCCACTGGCTGTTTCTCTTAAACCGCTGCTACTATTAAAAAATACTAAGAATTCATTCATTTAACGTAACCTGAATTAAACATTATTTCTATAAATAACTGCCAGTGGCGTATTTTTTCTTAGGAAAACGGAGCGGCACCTTCAGTAGCACGCCACTGGTTGAAGCCACGAGGTGAATATTGCATTCAATAAAAGGTCTGTTTACGTGAATACGCTGTAATAAATTTCATTCAAATCGTTCTGCGTAATACGAAGATCTGACCGAAAATATTTTTAATTTTTTTTAAATCTTGAACACCCTGTATCTCGAATACCACCTCCTCTAGGAAAAAACTTCATAGATCAAACTCTACTTATTTTCTGGCAACTAATATATTCCTGCAGTTTCTGTATTTAAAGTGAAATCACGCTGTAAATGATTTTTCGTGTTTTTTTTACCAAAAACTGCTAATATCTCAACGAAGATGCATTTTTTCGAAAAAAAGTTTCAGATAAAAGTTGTTCAAAATTAAATTTTTTACAAAATTGACCCCATGAAAAATTTCGAATTTCCGAATAGTTTTCCAGTATTTTTGTTAAATAAACTACAGATTATGTGAAAATTTATGTTTTGGGGCCAAATAATGGACATAGTTCATTTTTAATTAATAAAAGTGAAATAGAGAAAAAAAATTGCGGAAAATTCTTGGAAAATCTAATGGTAGTTTCGTGTATTTTGACTTAAAAACCTACGCTTTCTTTTAAAAAAATCTGAAAGTAAAATGTTCGCTCATTTTTTCCTTCATTTCCTGGACAGTTATGGACGCTTTCCTTGCTGAAAAATGAAGTCCACTTTTTTCGGGATTTTTCCGTATATCGATGCGCTTAAAAAAGTTTCAAGACGGTTGGACACCACTAATCTTGATTGTAGCAATCCATGCCATAAAACGGCACAAAAAATTTAATGGATACGTTGTTATCCCATTCCTATCATTTATATCTGTAATTTTTGCAACTATTGTAAGAGTTTGCTTAGAAAATGACAGCACGGAAGGTCATACCTAAATCTAGTAATAAGAAAAATAAGGGAAATTATAAGATCCTGCAATTTTATATATACACGTATATTATTTAACAACAAAGATATTTGCTTTCAGAATTTTATATACCACTGTTGGTATATTCGCTAATTTTTTCCTTAATGTCCTGGACTGTTATGGACTTTTTGCTTACTAAAAAATGAAGAACACTTTTTTCGGGATTTTTCCGTATATCGATGCGCTTAAAAAAGTTTCAAGTCGGTTGGACACCACTAATCTTGATTGTAGCAATCCATGCCATAAAACGGCATAAAAAATTTAATGGATACGCTGTCTACTCTATTCCTATCATTTATATCTGTAATTTTTGCAACTATTGTAAGAGTTTGTTTAGAAAATGACAGCACGGAAGGTCATACCTAAATCTAGTAATAAGAAAAACAAGAGAAATTATAAGATCCTGCAATTTTATATATACACGTATATTATTTAACAACAAAGATATTTGATTTCAGAATCTTATATACCACTGTTGGTCCTAATCCAAGCTCTCAGATTGGGAACACTGGCGTAGACCCCGGGGCTGTTTGGACGTGCGCATCCGGCCCCCCACGACACAATACCAGTAAGAACTCCATTGGCAATCAGAGGGCCGCCAGAGTCGCCTTGACAAGCATCCCTCCCGCCGACTCCCAAAAGTCCAGCACAGAACATCCTGTCGGTTATGGCGCTCTGCCCATAAGCAGCCCGACAATTGGCCTGGCTGATGATGGGGACCTGGACGACCTGAAGGGTAGTTGCTGATGGTCCGTTTTCCGAGAGGGCTCCCCATCCGGTGATGCCACCTTGGGCTGCCATGGTGATAGCACGTGCTACGGCGATGGTGATGGGGCTGGCGAGTTGGACAAGGGCGATGTCGAAATCAATCGTGCGAGAGTTGTAACTTGCATGGATGATGAGCCTGCGGGCGTCAATCACCTGTCCCCCGGAATTGCGAACGGTCGATCCAGCACGGATGGAATACACGTTAACCGGCCTACCAAGGCAATGGGCGGCGGTAAGGATCCAGGTCGAAGAAAGAATGGCACCTCCGCAGATGTGGTTCGGTGCTTGCAGGGAGACGATGTATGGGTGGGCCTGGATGGTGGTCGCAGTTCCACCAACGATCCTTCCATCTAAGTCTTCGTCATTTCTAACAGCGGCCGGGGGGGCACCTATTGGGGAAAATATTACTCACTTGAAGAATACCGCTTACTTAAAAATTGTGGATACTGATGACAAGGCGTAGATGTTTTTTAAATATATTAAAAATAGTAATAAGTACTCACCCAAAACCGAAGTCGTCAGAAAAACAGTCACTAAGATGAATTTGAACATATTGGCAGAACGTACAACACTGTCAAAGACGTGCGGATGGTAAGCATTTATATACGCAATTTCAAGAACGTAAGTTGATTTTATCGGCCCATTATTGACATAATCTTGTTATCTATCTCATCTAGTTCTTAAATTTTAAATTAGAATCAGTTAAACACATATTTTTAGACACTTTAGACGTCTTCAGAAATTATCAAAAGAGCATGGAGTAAGATCTTGAAAATCATGTTCAAGGAAAACTGAGATACATTTTTTTTTATCTCCTGTTTCATACAACTCAAATACACAGTTTTGACGTTTTTATGCGTGATTTTTAGTGAATTTATAGCAGTCTTTTGACGAGAGTTTTAAGAAATCTAAACAAGTTAGAAACAATATCTCTTCACTGGGGCAGTTACACAAGTTTTCTCCAGGATATAAGACAGGTTAGAAGTTAACAAAACTTTCAGAATAAAGAAAAACAAACGTAATAGAAATACCAGGGAAAGCTATACACGTTATTTAATAAGTAAATAGTATTTGATGTTGTAAACAATTTAAATTAATAAGAAATTACATTTCCTTTAGTTCATCAAAAGGCAGATCAACAAAAGCGTACGTTTTTGTGTAGATACAGTTGACGGTAGTGGCTGACACAAAAATTTCTTTTGATCATTTCATTTAACTTTTATTATTTCATTTTAAGTTGATTCTGTGCCACGTTGGTGATTGGTGTTCGAATAACTAACTCATCAGTTCAATGACGATGAATATGTTGTAAGTTAAGACCGAAATTTGCACCAAATACGAGTTGACGTGAATAATTTATTTAGGGAGTACCTACATTTGAGTGAAAGTACTCAGTTTTAGTTTAAATATAATCACAAATGAGTAAATTGATCAAAATGCCCAATATTGAGTGAAAATGCACTCAATAATTTCACTCAATGGATTTACTCCTTTATTGCTTTCATTTAAATCAATTTTTTTACAGTGTACAAGCGTTAGATGATGGAGATGCTCCTCAGCGATTAGAATTTCGTCGCTGGCTACTTGAACAACATGTACAAAATGATAGATTCATTTCGCTGATCGTGTGGTCTGATGAAACGTGTTTTACTAGAGACGGCATAAATAATAATCATAATGAACATATCTGGGCGTTACAAAATCCGCATGCAGTTAGATCGAGACGATTTCAGCAAAAGTACTATCTGTCAAGGTTTGTCATAGAGTTTGTAGAACACCCTGTACACCTATAATACCTGTTTTGTTTGAGTCCAGTATATCATCTGTTTTGTCTTGAATTTTGTCATCGTCTTTCACGTTATCTAATCATCAACATATCAACATATTTACGGCTAAAATCAGACAAAAACATATTTTTGGTGCATCGGTAAGTCATCAAAATCATTAAAAATAATGCAAACAGATATTTGCAGATTGCAGTTTGATATAACAGATCAACCATCAAAATAAATAATTCTTGAAAGTATTTTTAATTTTATATTATTAACAGGTGATTAAAACCTTATTAATTTCGTGAACGGATTTGAAGATCAAAAGGGCGGCGTATTTGAAGTTAAAAGATAAGTAATACAGAAGCTGAATTGATTATCTGGGGATTAATTGAGGATATAAGTGATTACTGAATGAACAGACAAAGAAACAAGAATTTTCCGATTACTGAGAGCAATACAATGACAATGAAAGTGGCTTATTGACAATAAAATCATTAAACAAACTCCATTTGCATGTATTCATATTTAGCTTGGACAAAGAATTTTACAATTATTGGTGAAAATCACTATTACCATGTGTGTTGTGTCTAGTATGAACCACTATTTCAATGTTTAACTAACTCTTACGTATCTTAACACTGTTCTATGATATGTACTTCAATTACAACTGTTTCCATTGACATAACCTCTAAAATTTTAATATTTATCGGATTCTTTGTACATATTTGATGAAAACGTGAACAACTCAGAGGCCAGTGACATTTCTAATCCAAGTCCTAAGATTGGGAACGCTAGCATACACTCCAGGATAATTCGGAAGGGCGCAACCATAACCCCACGAGACGATACCAGTGAGCATCCCACCGGCGATCAAAGGTCCACCAGCATCGTTGAAACAAGCGTCTTTTCCTCCCACACCCAAAACACCCGCGCAGAACATCCTGTCGGTTATGGTGTTCTGTCCGTAAGCTATACGACAATTAGCCTGGCTGATGATCGGAACGTTGATCACTTGGAGGATGCTGGCGAGCGGTCCGTCCTCTGAAAGAGCTCCCCATCCCGTGACAGTCGCCGTGGTTCCAGCTAGAGGTGCGCCGCCTTGAGCCGCCAAAGAGACTGCACGGGCTGCGATAGTGGTGATGGAACTGTTAAGTTGGAGAAGAGCGATGTCGTAATCAAGGGTGGCTCTGTTATGGCTTTGATGGATGATAATCCTGCTGACGTTAATCACTTGTCCTCCGGTGTTGCGGAAAGTTGATCCCGCGCGGATAGAGTAGGCCGTGGTGTTCGCCGTGAAGCAATGGGCTGCAGATAGGATCCAGTTGGCGGCGATGATGGAACCACCGCAGACGTGATTGTTTAATTCTTGGACAGAGACGATGTATGGGTGAGTCTCGATGGTGGTGTTGTTACCACCGACAATTCTTCCGTCTATATCTAGGCCTTCCAGGGAGAGCTGGGGAGCACCTAGTAAGAAAAAGTTGGATTAATTAAGGAACATTGACATAACTGCGTGCATGGAATACGATAAAACACAATGTTTATCACTATGGCCTTTATATTCCGCAGTATTTTTGATGGCGCGCGCAACATGATCTCTGTCAAAGAAACGCGTAAGAAAAATTTCAAAATTTCCAAAAAATGTTTTAAAATACATGTAAAAATAAATAAACATGTAGAACAAAAGGATATTACGGAAATAAGAGATGCATTAAAAGACATAATTAATGTAGATGTAAGTGTAATCCAGTTATTCAAGTATATACAGCAGTTACTCACCCCAAATTAGACCCGCAAACGCAGCAGTCGTCAAAATTAGCCTAAACATGTTGCCGAGGTGTTGAAACTCAACAGTATAAAAAATGGTGTAACATTTATATACCCTTTTGACACCGTGTTTTGATTCACTTTTTGTTATCGACTTAATCTTATAAGCTGCGATTTCCTATTTTGCCTTTTCGGAATAAGATAATGGTGTTGTTGAACACATGTCATAAGTTCCTTGAAAACGTCGAACTGTATATCTTGAGATTATCGGTAATAACAGATCGAAATCGCTTAAATCTGGGCGAACGAAAGTCAGACTAACTATTTTAAAAAACGAAATAGAATAAATATTTAAAAATCATGACCAAGGTATGTACCTAAGATTTTATAATTGAGGAAAAGGAAAAAATATAACATTTGAGATATGTTTTGAATCTCTATTATTGGAAGTATCATGTGTGGACGACATTATCTTTCTAAGAACTGGTACAGAATTAGATATAAAAGATTATTGTGGAGTAAGACAAGAAGAGTTTCTAGAACAGAGGATTATCAGAATAATAGGATATATTCGTTACTGGGAAAAAAATCACGATATCAACAATCAAACAGTAATCCAAAGTACAGCTTATTGAGTACCACATGTCATGTGAATGTGGATTAATAAGCACTCCATATGTTCAGTTTAAATTTAGGTAAAGAGTTAATAACACTTGCAATTTTGATCTTTGATCTTTTTTGCCGGAACTGAAGTAATTGTTACAATAACCACCTAAATATTAATATAAAAAGTTTGTACATATGCTTTTTCTTAATTTTTCTTTCCCTTTGTTCTCTTTGTACAAAAATGTTCTTGTTTAGAGAGACAATCCGCCAGTCTCTCTGATAGTACATTCCAGTAGGTTTTAATTTCGATGGATACAGCCCAAAATTCTTGAAAATTAGGACTTTGTTACAAGCGACACTTGAAACTTGATTCGGGAGAGTATAGTCTGCTTTCTTTCTGGTTTAGAAGGCCAGTTACATTTTGTCGGCCTCTGTAATCAATAGAACAGACATTTTATCAGGTTACGTGACTTAGATCTCTTTATTAAGTTGTACCAATCAACTAATATTAAAAGTGTAGAATAGTTTCAGGCTAATTTCAAGGTAAACACGTATATTGCAGCCGTTGCATACAGCAATGTGGAGTGATACTGATGAAGACAAAATACGAAATGTTAAACAAAGCATTCTTATGAAACTGATAACAGAAGATAATCACGTCATTAAACTTGCTACTTTTATTTAGAGGTTGTCTCTTTTGTCATACAAATAATAGAAACGAATTTTCAAGCACGTGAAATGAAAAGTTATATATTTTCTGATGGGATATAGGTATATTGAGAAGAGATAGACCTTTCTTGAACATAACTTCTTTTTGATTATAAGTAAGATAAGTTTAGTTCTGAAGTTTCATATTTAAACTTTTTACTGTCAACATTTTTTGTACTTTGTAATTTTAGATTCATTATAAAAATATTTCACTTCATCACTAATAATAAAACCGTATTCTAAGTATTTTGTGCAGCTTTTTATTTTGATTATGAACTACCATATTACATAAAAGTTTTATTGATTATGAGTTTGTTTCAAAGTTCCTTTAACTTCAAGAATTTTGGTGTATAAAATAATATTATGTAGAATAATTTGGAGCAAAGCTAACATTATCCAAAAAGTTGTACCAAAACTCACATTATCCAAACTTTAATTCACTTTCTTGTAGTCAAATATTGTTGTGCTGTCATTTCACCAAATAAGAGGCAAAGTTAAAGTTCTAATACAATACCAAAAAAAATTTCAGAGCCTTAAATCAGTTAAAATATGAGAAATCAGTTATTCCTTCTTCCTGAAAAATTTTAAAAAGTGGATAATATGAGTTTTGCATCTATACCCCTCAAGTAAAACATTTTCATTTGATAACAGTTTGACTGTTAGATTACTGTTACACTTTTAGAAATTACCTGTTCATGGTTTTCCAAAGAAAATTTGACACAGTTCATTTCACAACAAGAACTCAAAACCGTAGAAACCCAGATAATTGCTGCATGCATTTCTTTTTATTTTTTAGATGTGGTAGGATAAACAAGAAAAAAAAATATATTTAATTTTAAATATATATTACTCAAAACAATGTCAGATTCAGAACATCTCATATACCGCTATTGGCTCTAATCCAAGCTCTGAGATTGGGCACGCTGGCGTATACTCCAGGGGAGTTGGGTCGAGCACAACCAATACCCCACGAGACGACACCAGTAAGAACTCCGTTGACAATCAGCGGTCCACCGGAATCGGACTGGCAGGCATCTCTTCCCCCGACTCCTAAAACCGCAGCACAGAACATTCTGTCAGTTACCGAATTCTGACCATAAGCAGCACGGCAATTGGCTTGGCTGATGATGGGCACCTGGACGACCTGAAGAATAGTTGCCATCGGTCCACCTTCTACGATGTCTCCCCATCCTGTGATGGTGGCGGTCAATCCGGCTGCTGGTGGACCACCTTCCGCTGCCATGGTGATAGCACGGGCTACCGCGATGGTGATGGGGCTGGCAAGTTGGATGACAGCAACGTCGAAGTCAAGAGTACTCCAACTGAAGCTTTGGTGGAGAATAATCCTGCTGGCAGCGACCACTTGCCCTCCGGAGTTACGGACGGTCGATCCTGCTCGAATGGAATAGGCAGAAACTTGTAGGAATATGCAGTGGGCCGCGGTAAGAATCCAGGTTGAGGAGATGATAGATCCACCGCAAACGTGCGAGTTCAATTCCAGGAGGGATACGATGTACGGATGAGCCTCGATGGTGGTGTCGGTTCCACCAACAATTCTGCCATCCAGATCTGTACCGTTCCGCGCGGACTGAGGAGCGCCTAATGAAAGAAAAATTGAATTGATGTATCGTAGCTATAACTCCGTATTGATCATTGTTCAAAGTAATTAATTAACGATATGAGTGAATTTTTTGAGGTATAAATTGTCTCAAATTTAGAATTAATTTGTATTAAATTGATATAAAAAGAAAACAAAAGTAGAGTAAATAGGGTTAAACCATTAAATAAATACTTGAAAAGGTATCCTTAAAACCCATGGCAAACCTAACCATACTAAAACAAAATAATAATAATAATAATAGACTCATAGTAATCAATATTAACTTAATTTTTTTAGACATAGTAAGCAATTATTCCTCTCTATCCACATTGCACCACAGTTGTTTACTTGTTAAATATTACTACTAAGTATGAACAATTTAGTAACTTACCCCAAGCCGAGTTTGCTAGCAGCGTAACCAAGAAGATGAATCTGAACATGTTGATGAACAAAATTTAATAGGGCACACCTTTTATACATTTCATGAAGGAAATTGAAGATTAAGTTGTCAGTATTGTTTTATCTAATCAATTAACGTACTTCTAATTAATTTTCTAATATATTACACATATGTTTAAATTATTAAAACTGCACGGACCAAAGTGTTAAAAAATTAAATACAAGCTTATCAAATTAAGATTTTATCTCTTCATATCTCCCACTTCCTAAGAAAACTTGGTTTTCGAATAACACAGTCACTCAAAAAAGTAACCTGGCAATAGATGAGATTCATATTACCACAAAAACCGAATCGTCACCCTCCAGTTTTATAAAAATGACATCAAAGAGCAGTCAGATCACTGCATTCAGTAGATTTCTTTTTGAATGCAGCTGTAGAAATAAGTCGACGCAAAAGATAATGTTGTCGTCAATGACATTTTTTCTTTCTACGAAAACTACTTGCTCCAGGATGAATTCAGACCAAATTCGATTCCTTCCCACCAGATTTATTAAGATCGATATCCACAGAGAATAATAATTAATGCAAATAGTTTTTATACTAGTACATACATGTACTAGTATAAACTATATATAGTACATACATTACCTATTTGCGGGAGATATAAATATAAACATATTACCACTTATGTCAGAAAATGCTATGGAATATGTTAATACAATGAGTGAGTCAGGTTTTATATCCACAATTAATACACCAACCAGAATTGTAAAGAACTCAAAAACATGTCTTGATCATATCTTTATTAAACCAAAAAGTACCTTTATTCTAGAATTCATTTTACCTATAGTTTTCCAAAGTAATATTACCGATCATTTTACGACCATTTTACAAATAATACCTGTGCCTAAACCAAGTCAACAATCCAGTTACGTTGAAAATGTCGACTTTAACAAATTAACTTCGGTGATGAGTAAAATATCTTGGGAGTCTATATATACAAAATCAGATCCTCATGTAGCTACAAAAACTTTTGTAGAAATTGTAACTGAAGCAGTAAAACAAAGCACTTATGTTAAAGTTATTAAAAGAAAAAACCTGAAAAAGTCTGCCTGGATTACAAATGCAATTTTAAGATCATTGAACCAAAAAAATCTAATGTATCGTAATTTACAAAAAAATCCACATAACTTAAATCTAGAAAAACAATATAAAGAATATAAAAACAAATTAACAAATATGATCAGAAAAGCAAAGGAAAAATATTATAATGAATTGATAAGCAAAAACAAAAACAATTCCAAAAATCTATGGAAAATAGTTCAAAACTTAACAAGGTCTAACTCAAAAAAAACAAATTTACCGTCACTTGATAAATGAGAATGATGTTGAATTAACTGATAACATAGATATGGCTGAGGAATTCAACAAAACCTTTTCCAATATAGGGAAAAAATTGCCACATAAAATAATACCCAATAGATTGGTTGCTTTTAGAGGTACTTATTCACTAAATTCGCTAGTTTTACTGCCCACAGATCACCAAGAAGTCAAAGACATTATACTAAATTTAAAAAATAAAAAATCTCCTGACAACCTGAAGTCAGAGGTAATTAAACATATTGTGGAGTTTGTGACTGAGCCGATAGTATACATTATAAATGAGTGCATGAAAACTGGTACTTGGCCATCTGTATTTAAAAACTCTGTGGTTACTCCTATTTTTAAAAAAGGAAATAGTACGTTATCAACTAACTATAGGCCAATTTCTTTAATAACAAATTTCTGTAAAATATTTGAAAAAATTATTAAAATAAGAATATCATCTTTTTTAAATAAATATAAGTTACTTTCACAAAAACAATATGGTTTTAAGGAACATACGTCCACCCAAGATGCTAACGTAACGCTCACAAATAATGTCTCCTCTGCTCTAGATAAAGGCCAGCCTTGCTTGTGCACTTTCATTGACCTTACCAAAGCCTTTGACACTGTTAGTCATCCTATGCTTCTAGAGTCGCTTAAAAATATAGGAATTAGAGGTCAATGTCATAAACTCTTAGAGAGTTATTTGTCAAATAGAAAACAGTATGTAAGGGCTGGAGGTGAGTGCAGTGGATGGTTGCCTGTCGAATATGGTGTTCCGCAAGGCACGGTTTTAGGGCCCCTGTTATTTTTAATATATATTAATGATTTATTTGGCCTACTTACCAGTGGAGAGGTTATAGGCTTTGCAGACGATACAGCTATCTTCCATAAAGGTAACACTTGGGATGAACTGAAAGAAACTGTGGAAAGTGAATTGTCTTATGTAAAAGATTGGTTCAGTTACAAACTATTGACAATTAACCTGGAAAAGACGAGCTACTTGCCTTTTACATGCAATAAGTCAGTTTCCCCATCTTTTAATTATCTGAAATTAGAAAGCCAGGGTCATACAATTAGAATCTTACCTGCAATAAAAACAAAATATTTAGGTGTTTTTATAGATTGTCATTTGAGATGGGATATACATATAAATTATGTTATAAAGAAGCTTCAGTCCATTTTATATACCTTTAAGTACCTCTGTAGGTTGTTGTCTAGACAATATCTAAAAATGGTCTATCATGCTTTAATACAGAGTCATATAAATTACGCTGTACTATCTTGGGGTTCAGCGGTTAGTAGTCACATTGAACCTCTCACAATTATACAAAAAAGATTTTTAAAGATGATGTTACAAAAAGAATTAATTTACCCTAGTAATGAGTTGTACCTTGAAGCTAAAGTCTTCGATGTAAGACAACTTTATTACTACAACTGTGTTTGTAGGTATCATTATACTAATAATAAGCATGAAATGTCTCATAATTATGAAACTAGAAGAAAACAAAAGTTCTTATCTCCCTTTA